TAGCCTATGTTAGGAACCCAGAAGCTGGGACAGAGGATAGGTTGTAAGCCCTTCATTAACAAGTGGAGCTAAGAAAGAGGTTAAAAATAGATTTGTCTTAAGACATTTCTTCAGTGAGCACTCTAATAAGACAGCTTCCACTTTTACTTTGAAAGAAAAAGGAATGGATTTTGGAATTTATGAGTACTGACCCAAGTTTCACCCAGAATATTTTAACTTTGCCAGTTGCATGTGTCACAGTACATACAATAAATTAAAATTAGCAGCTGGAAAATGACACTCTTAAGGCAGAAGTGATTACAGAAGGAGCCAGGGAGCCAGTTTAACCAGTTAGCTGGAGATTTCCTCTACATGAGATTTCCTGTGTCATCACTCCAAGAAAATGCACAGCACAGGGGGACTATCAGGAGGAATGAGAAATATCTTAATGTCTGGTTGTCTGAAGATCACAGAAAGCTAATGTAGAGAAGGCCAGAGAACAATCTAAAATCCAGAAAGCTTAAAAACTGGCTTAAATTTTATCGGTCTTGCTACATGCCATTCAGATATAAACCAGAATTTTGCTCAGTTCAACCCTTAATTTCATTACTTTATCTTATATCCTGTGTCACAAGTCTGTCACACACTCAGAAATGCAAGAGCTGTTGGGGTACACTTTGACAGCTGTTAAGCTTTATTAGAAGTTAATATTAGCATTAAGAAAGATGCTGTTTCTATTTTTAGTTCTCTAGAAAGTTACATTCATCCAGTCTGACACCTGACGAGAATCCCACAGCTATCCGAAGTGGAAATGTCATGGGGTTTTCAATGGCCATTTGTAGTCAGGACTAACACTTTCAGCCTTGTCTGCAATGACTTGTAGACCATTGCTTAGACTGACACAGTTTTCCTTTTAGTTTTACTGACTCGCATTTTCACAATAATGGATTCAAACTAATGAAGAAAATGGTTCCCTCCTTTGGTAATGACAGTAAGAGGTAGTTTTGGTTTAGAAGGAAGTTTTGCAAGTGCTTTCTCATACATATTTCATTTTATCATTCTACTGACATGCTGAATGTGTCCCATTGGGAAGAAGTCGCTGACGGTCGTAAGCTTCCCAGTGGAGTTACAGCAAGCTGGAGCCTTCTCCCACAGGACCTCTGTCACAGTAGCAGTTCTGTGCCCACCTCATAGAGATATTTTTAACATAACTGAGTTGTTGGAAAACTTCTCTGTATACCACTTCCTCTGAAATTATAGCCAGAAAAATCTACGCAAAATGAAGTTGTATTAATCATGTAAGATAATTCTGTGGGAATGGGACATGAAACCAACTTTAAGGTTGTCCTCCTACCTGAGGGGTTAGATCCTCCTACCAGTGTGGATCAGATCAATCCATCCAACCCACACAAACCTCCAGCATACCAAGAAAATTCCAAACAATTGAAAGTGCATGAGGTATGTTTAAGGCCTTTTTCTACTCACATAAGTTGAGCAATCCTGTAAAACACAGATTTCAGGGTGCACAATCTGCCCCGAAGAGCTGTAGTTAGTTTTCTATTTTCAACCTCAATTCAAAATTCTCAGGATGGAGAATGCCTACTGGGCCTCCATTTCAATTAAATTTATATTGCTATCTTCAGTGAAGCCATCTGCAGTTTGAGTGCAAATAAAATGAAAATTTACCACCCCCATTGCTGAAATTTAGTGCGTGTGTGGTATTTCACACATTTAATGTGAGTGCCCCAAATGTCACTGTAAAGGTAAACATGGCAGTTTTTAAATATCAGGCGCAGCATGTAGTTGCAATCTGTGACAATAAAATCTGGCTTCGTAAAGGGAAAAAGGCATGTAAAGGTGAAACACAACTGTGAATCTCCACCTCAAACAGACGAAAACTAGGAAATTGTGTTATGTAAGTTTTATAATAACCCTCATATTCATATGTTAAATGTTTTGTAAAGACAGAAAACTACCTGAAACATATCTGTATGCTATTTCAAACAGATGAAACCCTCTACTTTATCAGGACAATTTTCTAGCCTCTAGATCCTAGGCTGCTCTTTTAGTAGTTTCCAATTGTTTATTGTATTCTTTCACTTCCTGAAGGTTGCACTAAGGACACTGCAAACCAGTGTACTAAGTCATGTCACCTGATGGGTCAAAACCTATTGAAGCTTCCTTCATTCCAAGAAATTACAAAGTAGCTGACATGAAGAAGAAAATACTTTTAGAGATGAAGCAATTTTACATCAGGAAGATGAAAACAAGGATTAACAGATTTGAATGAATGGTCTTTCGTGTGTAGGAGGAAGAAAAGAAAAAAAAGTAAGTTTACAACACAGTGTACCTAAGATAGGAAATGACTGACTGTGATATAAGACATAAAGATTTATCTTTTATATACTGTATGCAAAACAAAAAGATAAATGTTCAACTAAATGCAAAGCAGGCAAGAAAATATATCAGTTGATACATATTTATCCTACAAAGTGCTACTATGGCGAAGGTCAAAACACTTTTTAACACCTTATGTACATTAAGTAGTCTCTCTACAAATGAGAATGATAAAATTGATCTTACATTCAATGGGCTATTTATTAAATAAAATATAAATTAACTGCAATAAAGACAACAGAATCTAGATCCACAGATCTTAAATATGTCATAATTTAATATATAAAGGCAGCCTACTACGCAATCTAAGAAGGTAACACTATGTGACTACGACTTCACAAAAGTAAATGTGTATTTTTAATGTTAGAATGTGTCTGTCAATTATGTTATTATGTTCTACTGAATGAAGATTAACATAAAATTACACAGAGAGGGAACAACAAGAGAGCTCATTTGTCATCATTCTGGAATCAAGTGCAGTCTTACTAAGAAGAACATGACTACAAGCACATTTTGTATTCCTTTTATTTTTAAAAATATTAGGATGTTATGAAAGATTGTCGGGGGCTTTCTTTATTATTCCTAAAAATGAATTTACTGGTTCAATCTCATTAGAGGTTTTTCAACCATAAATTTCCCTTCAACACCACAAGGATTGTTACTGATTTAAAACTACACGGAGAAAACAAATGGTTCTTCAAATTATACCTGCAAAATATTTACTAGTGTTTCTTGTATTTCCAATGACACCTTGGAGAAAACCAGTAAGGGATGGCATTTAGCAACCTAGTACTTTTTTAGACAAGTAACAATATCTAAGTGATTACTAAGATTCAAACCTGTGGAAACAGAGAACATAACTGTAGGAAATTTTCCTTGTACTGCATTTAATTATACAAAAAATATACTTAAATAATCAGAAATCCATGCAATGATCATTATCACCATTATACATTTGTTGTATACAGTAAAACTCCTAAAACCTCATTCACTAGAGGGAAGAAGACAGTGAGAGTGTATTGTAACAGTATCTATAAAAGCAAACCAACCAACCCTTGGCAGTGCAAATTTACAGTATTAAAGGATTCAGTAAAACAATAATTTTAAATTAATAACTGCTACATTTCATTTATTATACTTCACGGAATAACTGATTGTCAGGCATGATGTGAGTAAGACCACAGATCTCAGTACTACAAATCTGTTTCGTTGTTTGGACTGGATATTTTACTATAATTTTCTCCTAACATGGCAAATTGAATGGAAAATAGTAAGAAATGAATAATACATCTTCTCCCTTATGCATGCATTTCCTTTAGTTGATGGCTTTTGTTGTAACGTTACAAAAGCTACCAAGTCCAAATTTGAAGAGGAATCTGTGCATATATTTTCAGAATACAGCCATGTGTGTCACATCACGAGTTGTTATGATTTGAGATCTTCCTTCTAATTGTCAGCTTAAAAAGTACTTTCCGCTCAGAAACAAAGATCAACTAAACCCCACCATATCATTCTATGTGAAACACTATTATAAAGCAGACAAAAAAGGATTATTCAGGGTCACTGAGTGATTCACTGGTCAAGATGGAAATTTTGTCTTGCATATCGAGTTCTCCTTTTGAAGGGATTAATTCTAATTTGTGAGGATTGCCAACAAAATACTACCACTGCTTTACACATAAGCATCCAGAGCAACTTTTAAAATGTCTTGGTGAATTGTGATTTAACTTCTATATTTTTTAAAAAAAGAAATAAAAACAAACAGACAAAAACTCCCACAGAAAACAGGTATAGGCACATCCCCAAACATGGGAAAAGGTAAATTACTAGTTTTAGTGTGAACCCAGCTGATATTTAACTTTTATTTAGAAAGTGATTTACCCTGAAGTGTGGTAGGAGGCAATTTACAAAACTGGTTTATATCACACACACACTCTCATATTCATATTCATGCATTTGTACACCTATAAGTACGCAAAAGCCAGACCAGAAGTTTAATTAGATCAAAAAGTTAATATCAAAACCAGCACAACCAATAACCCAATCTAATCTGAACAAGGCAACTCATCCAGTGATTCTCGTGTCAAACCCATAATTCTGGTTGAACCACAGGTTAAATTTCATCAACAGAAAGCCATCCCTCTCCTAGCTAATTAGCCTCATGGGGAAAAACCTCTGGGTCAGTTCCAGTGCAAATCTATTCAGATTCTAACCTTGAGATTTGGTTTTGCCTTTGCCTGATGACCAACAAAAACACATAGAAAATATTCACAGTGAGGAGACACATATATCTCACATCACTTAGCTACCCGTGTTTCTGCTTGATAATGCAAGGATTACAGTAATACAAGAAAAATGTCAACAAAACCTTCAGTTCTTTATGGCTTACGGTATACTTCTGTACCGCTTGCCACCAATGAGTCACAAAGTGTAAAATATTAAATATATCTTCTTTTCACAAGAATGTTATAGACTGAAAAAGCTTTAAGTGCCCTAAAGTTCAATACTAATAATTTTTTAAAAAAATATCGTATACACATATCAAAAATGGTTGCACTTCCATATTTAAATCCTCCCCTTCGTGCTGTTGATTTTTATATGGTAAAATCTCATATATCACTTACTTTTTTGTCTTCATTATATTTATGGAAAATTTCTTGTGCCCTTTCTTCACCACCATCCGTAAACAACATAATAATCTTATTGCAGTTAGCTCTAGAGACACTGTGCTGTAGGAGACACAAAAAGAAGGTTTTTTTTTTTTTAAATTTCAGGCTAGAAGGAATAACAGCTATTATATTTGATGGCTTTCATATCAACATGCTTACTACTTTAACAAGGTAATGGCAAAACTTCCAAAGCCTTTGAGGATTTCATTCAATACTGCTTTCTGAATTAAAAATAAAATAAAATTAAAAAAATAATAAAACAAAACAAAAATATTTTTTCTGGTCCATGAGAGTTAAATATGACTCATTTCAGATCTGTCCCAACACAGAGGAATGGGGATCTGGTGGTTCCTCTGACCTCACCAAGCCAAGGAAAGCTCTTCAGCTTATACACGGCACATCAGCCCCACAGTGTTCCTCTGCAGATGTTCTGCATGAGACTTGTACAGTGAGGCCCTCTAAACATTTCTACTCTTCTCTTTTTTTTTATCCTTATGTTTTTTTCTTTATCCTTACTGTCCTTGTGGCAATTTGGGAACAACAGCCCTCTAATGAATTACTGAATATTCTTTTTTTTTCCTGCTGGACTCCTACTCACAGAAACTATTAAGGCCACTGACCACTCAAATGAATACTATGGTAATTTAGGCATTCTGTAGGTACATTTAAAAAACTACCTTATAAACTTAGAAATATTTTTGCATTTGCTATTTTTATCAAATTTCATTAAAATAAGTTCCATCTTCCACTTCATTCACTC